GTTTCAGTTTGGGAATGCCATATCTGGGGATTTTTCAAAAATGGGCTTGAAGCTTAACAGGTTAAATCACGCAATTCCGACTTTATATCTCGCAATTCTGACTTTATAACACGCAATTCTGAGAAAAAAAGTCAGAATTGTGAGATAAAAAGTCGCAATAACCTTTTTTATTTTTCATTCTGTGGTGGAAACAAGCTTCCATAGATTTCTGCTGCTTTAATTGGAAAACAAACTACTTATCTGATTTAAATGTGATGGCAAACTCAAAAACCCTGGAGGACATGTGCACAAACACACTGCGTCTCACCTGTGAGAGATATTCACAAACGACCATGAGATAAACCAGCTCTGATAGGAAACGATCACACACATGATTTCTGGGCAAAGAATGGTCAAACTTTTCACATGTGCAGCAGCATTTCATTACTGGAATATGTTTTACAAGAAAATACTATTTCAATTTTTCTACGGTTCTATGGTTTTCTATGGATTTTCGCAAAAAATCCACCTTTAATTCACTGTAACAACTTCTGAGTGTATAGCTACTGTTTATCTATGAATTATTGATTAGTTTGATGGTAACCCCGCTAGCAGATAATGTTCTCAGAACAAGATTCTCTCGCTCAGTTTGATGTTCGTCTAACGTTTGAAATGTTTCAGAACGTTCCGAGAACATTCAAAAGTAACGTTCCCATATTGTTTGAAGAATGATGCAATTCCCTTAATTCGTATAACCAAGAAAATGTTTTTCAAACATTTACAAAACTGGATGGGTTTTCATAACTTAATAGCAAAACGTTTTGGAACGTATTTGCTATATTTATAACATTATACATAAAAATAGTTATATCTTTTTGTTAGTGGAGGCAGCACCGATTCATTAATGAAGTATATTTTCAGTATGTTTCTGTATAGGTGAAGGAACATGGTTTGTCTGTGTGTTTTTCTCCAGTATCGGTGATTGTCTTTATGTTGTGCTAAAGAACATCCATGTTTTGCATCCATCTGTGTCAACACCCACCCGTGAGCGGGACAGGGCATCTCCTCACGCGTACAGATGTTCCTGCACTTGTTATTCTGTCCTAATAAAACAAGGAGCAGGAAAATACATGCAGCTGGAGCATCAGCTCTGGACTCGATCAACACACGTTCACTGCAAATATAATCCATCTTTCATATTCCACGAGCGATCGTTTGATACAACCCAACTAATGTTCTCAGCTCATGATCTGGTCTTCTCAAAACATTAGCACAACAACATTATTTATACATCATTCATTCATGTTTTTTTCCTGAAATGCTTTATATTCAACATTCATAACGTTTTTTTTTTTTTTTTTTATGTCAGAACGTCCAGAGAACTTTCAAAAGTGATATTGAAACTTGGTTTGCAAGATGACAAAATGGAATATTCTCTTAATAACCAAGAAAAGAAAATGTTTCTAAAGTATTTTTTAGAGAACATTCAGAAAGTTTTCTGGACATTTTAACTTTTGGCAGTATTTTCTGGTTGTGATCAAAAGAAAAAAAAGAAAAAACATTATCTCTTAACAAAATGCATTACCTAATCTTCAGATTTCTGTTCTGGAAATGTATGCAAATGAGAGCATGCATATTTAATTAGATAATGCCTTATTTGCATATTTAAATATATCATTTGAGAAAACTTGTAATACAAAAATGTATCTTAAAGACAGCATTATCACTAAATCACTCAATCAAACCTCACACTCATGAAAAAGGTTTCTATGTGGTTCTATAGAACTCATGGCTTGGGTTCTTGGGTTCTTGGCTCAATTTTAAAAAACCCTTTCCAAAAAGGTTCTATAAAAAGAAGAAATGTCTTAAATTATTGCATAATACTTTCATGCTTAATGTGTTATTTCAAGTTTTTTTTTGTGATAAATATGTTAACAATAAATGTTCATAAAATTGTGTTAAAATTAAAAAGGAATTAAAACATAATTAATTAGTTGAAACTAAATCCATAAAATGATTCCATGATGGGAACCCCTAAAAAGTGCCTGACAGAACTTTACAACTATTCTAGTTCTATTTAGAACCTATTTAGAAGTTCTATTTAGAACCTTTTCTTCTTAGAGTGGCAGGACTGAATGAGTTGACAGGATCTCTCTCTCTCTCTCTCTCTCTCTCTCTCTCTCTCTCTCTCTCTCTCTCTCTCTCTCTCTCTCTCTCTCTCTCTCTCTCTCTCTCTCTCTCTCTCTCTCTCTCTCTCTCTCTCTCTCTCTCTCTCTCTCTCTCTCTCTCTCTCTCTCTCTCTCTCTCTCTCTCTCTCTCTCTCTCTCTCTCTCTCTCTCTCTCTCTCTCTCTCTCTCTCTCTCTCTCACACATGCATCCGTCATGTGCCGGTCATTTTCCAAACTGCTCCTGATGCACAAACAACACTGATATGCTGTCCCTGTAGTTTTCCACAGAGCAGCGGAGACTTCATGCTCGTCCACCCACAGTGATTTGAAAACTTTCTGACACTCGGGCTGAGAAATTCTCTGCTTTATTTCCAGCATATCAATCCACACTCACTGCCCTCATTCACCAGTGGGCAGAATCAGAGCCGAGGCGAGCCAACAGATCAGACGACTGAGGAGACGGGCATTTGAATGAAGGAACTCAAGCAATGTTTTGATGGATTTCCTATTGAAATGTGCAGCTACAATGAAGATTTTGTATTTTGCTGGACAAAAACCTAATTTACACCTACTCAGTTGATGTCTTAAATTAAGTACAATCAAATTAGCTGTGCAAGTCATTTCACAAATTAGATTAAACTGACATTAAAAAGGTGATGAATCTTGTATAACTCAGAAAAAAGTTATATTTATGCTGTCCTATTTTACCCATGCATAAATAACATAATGTACATATAATTGTATATAGCCTAAAGTGTGTGTATCTGCATATGCATGTATTATCATAAAATGTGTATCTTGTGTTCATATTAATATGGGATTTTTCAATGCTGCAACAAATTGTGTGTGTGAGTACACTTGGCCAATAAATCTGATTTTGATTAAATTATTTTGAAGAGTTAAAATAATGGAAAAAATGTTTGTCTAAATGTCTAGGCATAGCACATGAAGTTTATATTTGTTTTTGTTTTCTGTCAAAGTTAAATTGATTCGTCAAAGTTTTCAACAAAAATATTTTTGTTCTGAAAATGTGCAATGGAAGCATCATAATGTTCCCAAAGGCTTTGTTTCCACGTGCGTTGATGCGTTTCCTGTTCAGTGTCAGATTGTGTTTGTTTGCAGAGGCTGGATGGTTTTTGAGATGATCTGTATAAATAATCTCATGTATGTCCATGCAGTGATCAGATGGATGAGCAGCTGTGTTTTCCTCAGCATAACCTCGTCCACCTTCATGTCTTCTCTCATGTTCTCTTGGTTGTAGATCTCCAGAAACTCCTGACCCGCATTTCTCAGAAAACACATACGTCATAGACCCCCCAGTAAGCCACTATTTTTGGCTATTTTTCAAGCAATATGTGTATGCAGGTGCTCAATATATATATATATATAAGCTGTTTTCTGGACTGCTTAATTAAAGTGCATCATGATAAGTAAAAGGAAAGACATTAAAATCAGTTGTTGAGTGGTGAGATGTGTCATCAAATGTTTAATAAGATTCAAAACCATCACATAAAGGAGCTAATAGAACTTTTTAACAAACATTATACCAGATGAGATCAAGTTTGACTTTGGAAGAGATGCTTAGAGCAGCATCACAATAGCAGTGACTATACTGCCATCTAGTAGAGATATTAGGATCTAAATAAATACATTTAACATCTAAATGGTCTTTTAAATCGGCACACACAGTGGACCCAAAAACTATTTGTTCAACTCATTCACACTAATAATCATTAGTTCAAGTGCCTGTACCCATAGATATCCATGGATATCTATGCCTGTAGGCTACCTGCACTCAAATGGATCTCCCCTCAGAACTAATTCAATTAACATAATCAGTAAAACGACCTTAGTCAACTGGTTAGGGTACACAGACTGTGCTGGAGACCAGCACTAGACCAGTAGCAAACCATTACTAACTTAAAGGGATATCACCCAAAAATGAAAATGCTGTCATTAACTCACCGTTCCAAAAACGTAATATTTTCGTTCATCTTCGAAACACAAATGAAGATCTTTTTTATGAAATCTGAGAGATTTTTGTCCATTCATTGACTGCTAGCAACTACCAATTTGACACTTGACAAAAAGTTCATAGCCTAAAGAGATCGTAAAATAATAATCCATATGAATTGAGCGGTTTAGTCCAAATTTTCTGAAGACACTCGATCACTCACTTTTGATGGAGCATAAGTTAACACGAGAATGAACCTCATTAGTTTTTGTCAAGTGAACATGCTTGAGCTTGCGTTTCCCACAACTGATGTGTGAGTTGATGGGTGTTTATATGTGAATAAAAGCCTAAATTCACTCATATTAGCGATCGTGTCTCTTCAGAAAATTTGGACTAAACAACTAAATTATATGTCATCAAAAAGATCCTAACGGTTTGGAGCGACATATGGGTAATGAAGGAATTTTCAATTTTGGGTGAACTATCCCTTTAAGACCAGCCAATGGAGCTGTTATTAAAATTCATGTATGAATGTAAAATTGGAATTACGCTAGCATCATAAAACATGTCTTTGTGAATTCGAACGATCTATTCCAGTGTAAATTGTTGTGCAGATTCATCACAAACTACTGTGATTGGACCATCTTGAAAATCGCTGAAAAATGTAATGCATCCCACGTGACAGCACCACTGTTACCAATCACAGTCGTTTCTTTTGTGATGATCAGTTGAGATTCATATGCGGATGTGAAATAGGCTATCTCGCATTTTAATGTATAGATTGGAAAAATAATATTTTGTAGTGTACAAATATCTGCAAAAAACAATAACCGTGCTGATTTGTGTTTGGATTTTCTGAGTCATCACGCGCCCCCTTGAGGATGAGCACGATTGTAACCTAAGGAATCGTAACCATGTGCGCATGCGCAGGCGCGTGCTCGTCGCGGCCGCTGCGGGTTTTGCGCACACGCCGCACAGGGACGCGACGCGACAGTTGCGGGGGAATCCATAGCAACGGCGGATAAACATGAGTTACTACAGCAGGTAAGACACCGATGGAAACATTTCTTAGAAATTATCCAAAAGTGACGTCCGTTTTGGGACCGCGGTGTGCGCGCATGTGTGATTTATCGTGTCTTTCGTAACTTTGGTGTGTTTTTTTGTCGGTGGGATCCTGTTGCGTTTCGAACGCGCGCTGTAACATCAGCCACCAAGCTAAAAACACACAACAACACACACGGATTTAGAATAAAACACACACAAATCTGAATTAAACTGCTGGATGATGAACAGAAGAGAAGGAGAATAAAGCAGGGGAGTGTGAATGAATGCGGTCAGGAGGAGTGTAACGGTTGAGAAGCAGTTACGTTAGCTGGATGATGATAGCAGGGATACAGATGAACATTACAGTCTGAAATATGATGTTCAGCTACTCGTCTGTAAATCACAGAGAACGCCTCGCTGATTAATTTATATTTTTGAATTTGATTAATCTCACAGTGCCTGAATGGATCTAATTCATTAGTCGCCCGAATGCGTTACCGACCGTTACAAATATCCAGTGGTTTCACGTTTCTGATATAGTCATGTGATGTAATATGTACGTCATTACTATATTGAAATGACATCATAATATAGTTGAAGCTGGACTTAAAAAATCTTATACTCCCATCATTAAGATTTTTGACAGTGTAACATTATTTTCAAGACAATTAACCTCCTTCTAATTACTGTAATGCCAAAATAACGATTTGTTATTTTAATCGCAAAGTATGTATTTGTTGTGCTTACTTACATTTGCACTGATTTAAATACAATAAAAAAACACTGTCCAAATATGACTTCATAATACAAAATAACTAGAATTTGAGGGTGAAAATCGCTTAATTGTTATGAAAATAATATCACATTACAGAAGTAGGCTTAATTTTCTTTTATTCGATACATGGGTTCTTGATTTTTTTTTTACTCATTTGATTTTTAGGCGAATTGACTGATTCACCTATAGAAATGTTTCCATAAATATAGTTGAATATGTTTCCATGAGCTGTGATTACTTAATCTAATAAAATCTACACAATATTTTATTTAATTTCACAACTTAAAATATTGCACAGATATTAATTACAGTATATATTTTAAATAGTTCTGTCAAATCGATCAATCGCAATTAATCACATCTAACATAAAAGTTTGTGTTTATATACAATATGAGTGTATATATATAAATAGAGTATACATATACCGGTGTATATATATATATATATATATATATACAGTACACTACCGTTCAAAAGTTTGGGGTCGGTACGATTTTAAATACTTTTAAAAGAATTCTCTTCTGCTAACCATGGCTGCGCTTATTTGATTAAAAATACAACAAAAATCAGTTATAGTATCAAATATTATTCCAGTGTAAATCAGCTGTTTTCTGTGTGAATATATAGTAAAGTGTAATTTATTCCTGTGATCAAAGCTGAATTTTCAGCATCACCAGTGTCAGTGTCTTCAGTGTCAAATGATCCTTCACAAATCAGTATAATATGAGGATTTGATGCTCAAGAAACATTTATTATTATTATCAGTGTTGAAACAGTTGTTGGTCTGTCAGTTGTACAGTTTTTTTTTTTTTTTTTTTTTGGATTCTTTGATGAATAGGAAGTTCAAAAGAACAGCATTTGTTTGAAATAGAATCTTTTGTAACATTATAAATGTCTTTACTGTCCTTGATAAATAAAAGTATTGATTTCTTTCCTCCAAAAAATAAAAATAAAATTCTCACTGACCCCAAACTTTTGAACGGTAGTGTATATATAATATGTGTGTGTGCGTGTGTATGTGTGTGTGTGTAAACTTACACACACAAACTGTATATACTGTATACATACATACATATAGTATATATATATATATACACACACATATAAAAACAAACTTTTATGTTAGATGCGATTAATCGAGTTGACAGCCCTAATTTTAAAATCTGTTTATATATTGATACTTATTTATTTTTAGAAAGGTGAATTAATTCCATTCTATTGGACAAACTCTCGAGTTGTTCTGTTGCTAACACTGGTGATATGAAGACAGGGATTCGTTAGACAGTCTCTGATTATGATCAGTGTTGTGGATGAAGCTCTTCTGACGGCGGTGAGGAAGGACGTCTCTGGCCGGCCTTGACTCTGTCCTGAGTCGAATGTGTTGACAAGACTAAGATCACGTTCAACATCTGCTCTCAGTTTCTTTGTGTATGTTTTGTCCTCCAAACACAACCAGCTCTATCCTATCAGAGCCACACTCCTTCCTTTCCCATGATGCCGTGGGCTGGAATTCGGTGAGGTTTCGCTTAATGCACAAGCACAGGAAGTGGTTTGGATTTATCTGCAGCTTTTGTTTAACATACAGCCTTCTTCTGAGAACAGCTGATGTAGTTTACATCTCTGATAATGACAAACCAGCTTCCACTTTGGCTTGTGCTGTGTGTTCGGCTGTAAGTTTTCTTCAAGGTCTCTCGGACTCGGATTGGAGTAGAGATGCGGGATTAATCGTTAAATGATGGTGATCCCGATTCAAACACCCATGCAATATTATTTCTAAATGACAGCGATTCAGCTCTATATCTATTAAACCTTTGACAAGTACGATTACAGTGAACATTCAGATCCGTGTTCTGATCCAGAGAGAGCCGCTGTCATGATGAAACAGCGAACACTATCAGTCTTTACAACACAGTATCATTATTTACGTCTTATAATAGTTCACATTATCACAGAAGTACTGGGATAGGGTTTATAGTTTAGAAATAAACAGCGATCAAAAGAGAATAAATCACCTGTATCGATTACATCGTCACACCAGTAGAAGTGGCGACAAGTGACTGTGAAAAATGTCATAGTCATTGAATCATTCATTCAACAGATTCGTTCAAAACGCTGATTCATCCAGTAATGAAACAAGTGAAGTCTTTATGAGTGAGTCACTGAATCATTCATTCAAGAGATTTGATTCATCTAGTAATGAAACAAGTCTTTATGAGTGAGTCATTGAATCATTCATTCAACAGATTCGTTCAAAACGCTGATTCATCTAGTAATGAAACAAGTCTTTTTGAGTGAGTCATTGAATCATTCATTCAACAGATTCGTTCAAAACGCTGATTCATCCAGTAATGAAACAAGTGAAGTCTTTATGAGTGAGTCACTGAATCATTCATTCAAGAGATTTGATTCATCCAGTAATGAAACAAGTCTTTATTTATTTATTTATTTATTTGATATGGACATAACAACAGCATTGGACGAACCAGATACCTTGTTTTCAGTGTTATAGCAAAATTGCTAATTTGCAACACTTGTCTATAGGAGACAACACATGTCACCAATCACAACACAAAAAAGTAAAGTAAAAATAAATACAGTAGTTACAAAGATTAGCAATACAAATCATCACTATACATTTTATACAGCATTAGCAAATCTCTTGAATGAATGAACATTATGAGTGAGTCACTGAATCATTCATTCAACAGATTTGATTCATCCAGTAATGAAACAAGTCTTTATGAGTGAGTCACTGAATCATTCATTCAAGAGATTTGATTCATCCAGTAATGAAACAAGTCTTTTTGAGTGAGTCATTGAATCATTCATTCAACAGATTTGTTCAAAACGCTGATTCATCCAGTAATGAAACAAGTGAAGTCTTTATGAGTGAGTCACTGAATCATTCATTCAAGAGATTTGATTCATCTAGTAATGAAACAAGTCTTTATGAGTGAGTCATTGAATCATTCATTCAACAGATTCGTTCAAAACGCTGATTCATCCAGTAATGAAACAAGTGAAGTCTTTATGAGTGAGTCACTGAATCATTCATTCAAGAGATTTGATTCATCTAGTAATGAAACAAGTCTTTATGAGTGAGTCATTGAATCATTCATTCAACAGATTCGTTCAAAACGCTGATTCATCCAGTAATGAAACAAGTGAAGTATTTATAAGTGAGTCACTGAATCATTCATTCAAGAGATTTGATTCATCCAGTAATGAAACAAGTCTTTTTGAGTGAGTCATTGAATCATTCATTCAACAGATTCGTTCAAAACGCTGATTCATCCAGTAATGAAACAAGTGAAGTATTTATGAGTGAGTCACTGAATCATTCATTCAAGAGATTTGATTCATCTAGTAATGAAACAAGTCTTTATGAGTGAGTCATTGAATCATTCATTCAACAGATTCGTTCAAAACGCTGATTCATCCAGTAATGAAACAAGTGAAGTCTTTATGAGTGAGTCACTAAATCATTCCTTCAAGAGATTTGATTCATCCAGTAATGAAACAAGCAAAGTCTTTATGAGTGAGTCATTGAATCATTCATTCAACAGATTCGTTCAAAACGCTGATTCATCCAGTAATGAAACAAGTGAAGTCTTTATGAGTGAGTCACTGAATCATTCCTTCAAGAGATTTGATTCATCTAGTAATGAAACAAGCAAAGTCTTTATAAGTGAGTCATTGAATCATTCATTCGAGAGATTTGATTCATCCAGTAATGAAACAAGTCTTTATGAGTGAGTCATTTAATCATTCATTCAAACTGATATTTTTTTAAATTAAATATATATTTTTTACATACCGTATTCTGCATTAAGTGACGTTTTGTCAGAACCTCTAGTAAATTACATGTAATTTAGTTTAGTTGTCTATTCAGAATTGTGGGAGAATCGTGATCTCTTGTGGTTATTATAAGCAACAGCACAAACACATAATGCATTAGGTTTGTTCTGTATTTGCATGTGTGTGTGTGCTGTGTGTATGTGTGTGCACGTGTGTCTCCCAAATCTTTATGAACGCAGCTGGCCTGGATGCACGTATCGGAGTGTGCGTTTTCAAGGAGTTTATTCACAAAACCAGAAAATAGTCCATCCACTCACAGACCTGATGAATGTATCTGAGAGTCATTATTGTGCAATTATGGTCTGTTCCGGTGGCCATCAGAAGATGTGGAAGAAGTACAGCCTGAGATTGGCATCATTATCAGAG